GCAGGAACTTCACTAGACTGCCACGGCTTCTTGAATATGATGGAGAGAGGTTTGATAACCCCATCCGTCAGTTCTTTCAGGACCTACAAATGTATTCCATCAGGTCCCATGGACTTGGGCACCTTCAGGTTCCTCAGGTGTCCCTGAACCTGATCCTCTCTAACCATGGGCGGTTCTCGATTCTCCCAATCCCTGCCCTTGCCTTCTGCAACTCGGGAGATATGGCTTGTGCCCTTCCCAGGGAAGACTGAGGCGAAAAAATTATTGAGCACCTTGACCTTCTCCATATCCTGGGAAACCAGCTCTCCCATTTCCTTCCACAGAGGGCTCACGTTTTCCTTCATCTTCCTTTTATCACCTATGTACCTATAGAAGCCCTTCTGTTGGCCTTGATGTTCGTGGCCAGGTTTAATTCTGTCAGGGATTTAGCTTTCCTAACCTGATCCCTGGTTTCTCAGACAACTTCTCTGTAATCTTCCCAGGCTACCTTTCTGTGATGTCACCCACTGTAGGCTTCCTTTTTGTGCCTCAGTTTCTCTGGGAGCTGCTTATTCATCTATACAGGCCTCCTGGCATTCTTACCTGACTTCTTTAATTGTTGCAGTGCATCATTCCTGAGCTTGGCAGAGGTGATGCTTGAATGTTAACCAGCTTTCTTGGGCCCTTCTTCCCTCCAGAGCTTCATCCAATGGAACACTGCCCATCAGTTCCCTGAAGAGGCCAAAGCTCTCTTGAAAGTCCAGGGTAGCGAGCTTGCTGCACACCTTCCTTGTCTCCTTAAGGATCTCAAACTCCACCATTTCGTGGTTGTTGCAGCCAGGCAGCGACCATGAAGAGAGGCACTAGCATCTTTCTGAAGGGAGGTAATTTTGCTGTATGCTTGTATCCTTCAGAAAGCGAACAAAAATTGATGAGATTAAGCTTTTCTACTTTGAAAGGGAATTAACAGTGAATGCAGACCATTAAAATGATGACTCTGCATTTTTCAGTGATTTGGGAATTTGCTGATTGAAACGAGCTCATATGAATCACTAGTGGGTTTTCGTTTTGTTTTGTTTTTTTAAAAAGGCCATACAAACTGCACTGTTAGTCTGCTTTGTTTGGATACTGAGGGATCTGAAACTGTTGTAAAAGTTAAAAGTTGGTTGGGGTTTTTTTTTCCCTCCCCAGTATTACTGTGTATTTTTCTCCCGTCAGTTCTGTGCTGATCAGCACTGGTCAGTTGTCTTATATTAACACCTTTCCAGTATGACTTTTGTAACTATTTTGACCAAAACTTCCATGGTCAACTGCCTGTATATAGAGGAATAGGACACAGCATAGAGCCAGTGCTTTGTGCTTTGCAAGAAAATTGTTTGTTAGTTATCGTAATCACCACTTGTTGTCATAGTATTTTCCCAACAGCGTGAGTCCTGCTTATTTGAGCTTTGTGTATTGTAACTGCTGAGTGTAGCACGTTGCTCAACAGCGTGTTTTAATATTGGTTGCCTTAGTTTTGGTGATGTGTTACTACATGCAAATGAATATCCTCAGTATTTTTATCAAGTGAAATAGCTTTTTTTTCTACATTTCTCCCTACCTAGTGTATGTATTTTGTTATTTCTGTGATTCTTAAGGGGGGTGGGGGGAGGGAGGCATAAAATTCTTCTTTCCCCCATATCTCTAAGTGACGAGGTTCTACTTTACATGGTGGGGGTTTTTTTTTGAGTGGGGGCAAAGTGAATGTTGTTTGATACAAATGGCTTGTACTGGGGGAGAGGAAAATGAACTCAGTCAGTGACACATACCTTCCGCCTTCTCAGAGGTAGGTACGCTGGGCCCTGCCCCTGGTGGTACCCCACACCAGTGCTGAGCAAGCACACCAACAGCCTTATGTTTAGGGCGAGTCGAGCAACTGAAATAATGTAGCAGCCCTTGTCCCCAGCATCAACCCCGGGCTTGTTCTTGAGTCTTCCTCCTCCCTTCCAGTTCTGTCATTGACCCTCTGCCAGTACAGAGCGAGCATCAGCTTGTGCTGTGGTGGAGATTGGCCTGTGCTGGCTGCCACAGGAACTAGCTAAAGGTCTGAGGTATATCTGCTTTTCTCTCAGCTGAGACGCTGAGTTAGAACCATCCCCTTTGTGTGGCTACTTCTTCTGTAGAAAGCGTAGAAGAGTTTTGAGATAATTTCCTCTGTAAGACTTGGATTAAATGAGTTTACCTCTTGGTTTCAGTATTTTGGTATTACCTGTACAAGCAGGAAATACCGATATTCACGTGAGGGAGAGGAGGGAAGGCTGAAAAGAGAATAGTAAAAGATTATCAGGTAAGATCACTTGCTGAGTATATACTCAGAACAGAAGTGGTTTGCAAGGGACATGCTTGAGTTCTTGCCGTATCATGCTTTAAAAAAAAACAGATATAAAGAAGAAGAGGCATGAAAGATTGATCATCTTCTGCCTGCAGTAATTCCCTGTTCAAATATTTGATCTGTTTAGGAATTTCTGTAGATGTAACTTGTGAAGTGTCTTAGGCATTATAGCTCAGGAGGTATCCTCCAGGATGCTGCTACTTTGCCTGCAGCTTTCCCTGGAAGGAAGGACCTGTTAGTAGGAGCAGTGACTAGAAGCCACATTCCTTGTGCACAATCCAATAAGGAATAATCAGGGGCAGGAAGAAGAGAAAGCAGCCCTCCTTCCTTGGCAGAAAGCCCTGCCCAGATGTTCCAAGATGTGTCAACAGAGCAGCCTTGCCGATGCGTTCTCCCTTCTCTTTACAACCACGTTTGCATGAGGAACTGCCTTGCTTCGCTGTTTGCAGCGAACAGGAGGTGGTTGGGGGTAGGTCCGTGATTGCAGTGCGGTGGCACCGGTTGCCTACCTGGGGAGGATGAGGTTAACCTTCAGGGGAGTTTAGGAAGGGAGCAGGTCCCAAAGTCCAGATTTCCTGGCCCCATGGCTGCTCAGGTTAGACTGTTCTGTAGAACCTAGTCAAAGGTGGTGGGAAACCAGGATCTTTAGCAATGACTCTCTTGCTGTCGTGGTTCTCATGTGTAATCATGTTTTAAAACACTGAAGGCCAATCAAAAATTCTGTCACACTGTTGTAAGTTGTTGCAAATTATTAGTTATTTTAGTACCCTTGCTGTACAACTATTTTATCAGTTGTTGCAAATAATTCTTTGACATCATATTTTTGATAAGGTGAAGAACCAATCTTAGCATTGGCTGGCATACTCTAATCAGTGTATGGGGAAAACGGTGTGGGTGTTTGTTACCTGCTTGAGTAGATTTCTCATTGGGATTTACCTCAACTGCCTGACAGCTGTTGCAGCTGTAGGTCTCCTCTGTGTTAAGATTTATGATGCAACTTTGACACAGAAGTTCATCATAGGCTTTGGAGCAAAATATGAGGGCAAAATTAGTTACTCCATCTTAACTTTGCAATTTTTATATAAACTGCAGTCTTTTGTTAAAAAATGAAATTGCTCTTAGCACACATTTCGTTACAGTGTTAGTGTAGATAGTCTTAGCTGAAGAGGGTAACAGGGGGTGTCCTAAGGAGTGCAGGGAATGCAAAATATCGGTAAGAAATGGACCATGAGTGAATCTCCTGCCTTTAAGTCATCTCTTTGGCTCTCCACAACTCAAGGGCTCCGTGGCTTATCTGCCTGCTTGGTACCATGGTATTGTAAAAATTGCCTGCTTGATTTTGGGTTTCACAGTACCGTTTCTGTTTTATAAAGTTAGTCAATCTTTTTATACAGTCAGAGGAGTTGGGAATCTGTCTGTTAAGCGAGATTTCTTGTATAACTTTGCTGAGAAACTTCTATTCTGATGCTCAGTTTCAGGTCTTACCCTTTTTGTATAACTCCTTTAGTGACATCTTTGCCTGTGATGCTTTTCCATTTTGACTTTCTTTGATGAACATGCTGCTTTAGGAATTTCTTAGTTTTCTGAAATTTATGTACATAACAAGGACTTTAAATCATCTATTGTTAAAAAAAAAAAAAAGAAAAGCCAGACCCCCCAGTATTGGTCCTGTTCTGGATTCCAACGCTTCGAGAAGCAGCCTTTGTGGATGGTGAAATGTGTGCTGCGGTAGCAAGGAAGCATGGTGAAGTAGGCTGACATAGGGGTGAAAGCTGAATAGTGTTAGTGGAGTATTGTGTTAACGAATCTCTCATCTGTGTCATGAAATCTGTTTTCTGTTGGTCTGATGTTCTGTGGGGTGGAAGTGGTTTGTAAGGTGCCTCCGGAAGCTTGATAATCATCTGGTATGGAGTGGCAAATTATGTTTGTTTGGGTTTTTTTCTAAGATGATGATCAGAAGTCTAACCAGGGTGAAGCAGTGAATAAGCTGATTAGAAAACGTAGTTTCTGAAAATACTGTTTTCTAACTAGCTCTTGTGAAGCATTTATCTTACTTGAAAAAATTGCTGTGCAAGAGTAAATTACCATTGATGTTTTACCTTCCCTAGTATCTCAGGAGCTATCATTTCTGTGAAAACAGTAAAGAAGTTGGCCAGTTTGGTTTTATGTCTGCTAAAAGCCATTTTTTTCCCCCCCTTTTTGCAGGTGAGTTTAGTTTGGGGATGTGAATACAATGAGTGTAAACCAGCAAGCTCACACAGGGCCTCCTTACGGGCAACCTCAGCCTGGATATCAGGGATACCAGCAGCCTGCCTACGGAGGACAGCCATTGCCAGGGGTTCCTCAGTCGCAGTATGGAGTTTATAATGGTCCGATGCCAGGATATCAACAGCCAGTCCCTCCACAAGGTACTTCTCAGTCAAAACTCAATGATTGACAGCCTGTGAATTGTTGCGTGCATGGATTTATTATTTCTGTAATTCGTACTGTTAGTCTTTATTTTGTCATAGCAATTATCTTTTCTTCTGTATGTAGCTTACCTGATGTTAAAAAACATGTTCTTCCTGTACATTCTGAGGTTATTATTCTGTCATTTGTCCACTTTAGCTGGGCTTGCTCTTCTTTTAGCAGCTCATAAAATTAACATGTTGAGAAGCACAGCATGTTTTTTTTTCCTGTATGCCCCTGTGATACTGAAGCACCTGAATAGGACAGTCGTCCTGATAAGGTTGTGTTGAGGGGTAGCACTTGGGGACCGTAACAGTGGTAAAGTGGTTCAACTTTTTTTCCCCTTTTTTCAAAAGAAAGGCTAACTTAAAAGTTATTAAGTAACTTTAAGAGTCTTTGTTTCTGAGTACCCGAGTGGCTTTAGGAGATTAATAGTGACTTCAGTGTCTGAAATGTGGAGGAGAAAATACTATTGCTTTGAGTAGAAGTATTTCTGCCTTTGAAAATCACCTGGATGAATCCAGTTCTGCTGAGATAAGCACAACATGAACTTTCACTTTTAAATGCTTGTTTAGATTTCAGACTGGTATTTTAAGGAAATTAGGAATATGCTAATCATGCTATGGTCTCTGCATTATTCTTCCCTCTAATTAAATCTTGAATTTTTTGCAACTTCTTGAATTTGAAACCAAACTCAATGAGGAAGTTAGAAGAATCAAAGTGCTTGTATTTGCCTTGAAACTACAGAAGTGGGAGACAGAACTTTGGGAGCTGAATGATTGCCCTGTTGGGTTTTTTGTCTGGAGGTAGCAGGGTGGTGGAAGAAGAGCTAGTGTGGTGTGCTAAGGAGTGGGTTACTCCAGTTACTCCATCTTCCTTTTCTTTCTGTAGTCCTCTGCCTTCCCCCCCCCACGAAGTCTTTTCCAACAGCACTTTTAATCTGTGAGTTTGGAAATGCTTTCACAGAGGGTTTAAATTCCTGTAAAAGTAATGAAAGTTGGGACTGGGCAGAGGAAAGAGACCCTTCTTCCTGGGAAAGCAGGGCCAGAGCTCAGCCACTGAGCCCTCTGTTTGCCTGTTCAGTGTAGTCATTGACTAGCTAGTGTTTCCTGTCCCATGGTAGGACTTGTTTCAGTGAGGGAGAGGGGGATGAAGATTACTACAGATCTGTTGGAAAAGTTTCCTCAGTGCAGCTATTTATAGAAAACAGGGTTTGGCTGTTAGCAGTGTGAAGAATGGTTAGGGTGTTGGTGAAAAGAAACTGATGAGCATCTTCCATCAGATATTTCAAGAATTATTGAAAAGTCTGAAAAGCATTTAAGAGAATTAACTTTTTACTTCTGAATTAATTTCTGGTTTGCCTTTTTTGATTTCAGAACAACAATGTGGTTCATGACAGTTCAGTAAGGACATACCTCGAAAGCTTGATAACGTGTATAAACTTGTGCAGATTAAAAATGCAGATTTTGCATGTGCCACCGCTGATGGAAAGGTAGCGTGACACTGAGGGCAGCAAGGTGGTCTTATTTGGACAATGAAAGTGTCTTGCACTACCCTTTATCTCATGTACTTTACTGGGGTATCAGGCAAAGGCCACCTGTGGTTTGTGGATATTTCTCTTCCATCTCTTCTTCTGAGACCATCCTTTCTAGACTTAGCAGATTGTATTAAGGAAATCTCAGTTGTCAAGCTGTGCATCTTGGGCCTGTTATTGTAAATCCAGGATTCCTGTCTTTAAAAGTAGGGAATGTAAAATTCAAAGCAGTAGCACAACAGCCAGAAGCTGACCTGTTAGTAGCTGCTGAATATAACATCCAGGTGGAAGAGTGGCAAACAAACAACACATTATCAAAGAGAGTAGACAGCTGATAGTGAAGATAGTGGTGGATATCCTTCCTACCCCCACGTCCAACACATTATTATAGGTCTTTGTAGTGAGACTTGTAGCTGCATAACATAGAGGAGAGGGAATTAATTTCAGAGGCACTAGAGTGACAGGTATTTAGTGGGTACTGAGTGGTAGAAGGAAAACTGCCAATGTTATTCTGTTACCTCAAAGTAGTTATCTTAGGGGTTTATTTCAAAAACAACGAAATTGCTTAGAGGACTGTCTGGAGAAGTGTTGGGAGCAGGTGCCACTCTCAGTCAGGGAGTCTTTCGCATCTGATTTATGTGACAAACCCTAGGAATATGGGAATGCTGTACCAGTGATGCTAGTCTTGCTTGGGACCAGGAGTGGCATACTGTGCTGATAGCTGGAAATAGCTGTTTCTTGCTACAAGAATGTTAAAAGAACTGGGACGATTTTGCAGCAGTCTTTGTCAGTCCATTTGTTTCCTTCTGATGAGATCATGCAGGAGAATGTGCAGACACAGCTATCTGAAAACCAATGACAATTAGGCTGCTGCTTTATTGTTTTCCATAGACTCAGTTTACAATGCTATTAACACTTGTGTTAATGTTAATATATGAACTATGTTGGTGATATGTTACCTATGGTAGAACCATGAGGAGGAGTGTAGCTTAAGGAATAATGTGGTAAATGTGACATGGATTTTTATCTATATGATATTTTCTGTACTACAGACTGACCTCAGCATTAAAAACACTTTCTCTTGGTGCTTTCTGTCAGGCTTGATTTACTGGTGTCTTCTGTCTTTCCAGGTTACTTTGCTTCCTTGGGGTTCCCTTTGAAGGGCTCTCCTGTATCTAACTCTGACAATTCTTCTCTTGCACCTAATTTCATAGGTAAATTGTGTCCTTTCTGTGGGAGTGTTTGTGCTGTACAGCTTCTTCTGTGCCGAGCTTACATTTAATATGGATACTTATCTTAAAGATATGGGTACCTGATTATGCAGGCAGAGGTGGGTGGGTACACTTCCCAATCTATTTGTAGGCAGCACTACAGAAACATAAATAGGATATGAAGAAATAATCCTAGTAGAAATCCCTTATGCATGCAGATTTGTAGATAAAAACCTGACTTGTGATTAATGTTTTCTGAACACTGATTTCAAAACCTGAATTAGTCTGTCCAAGTTCTGCCAGGGAGAATCCTTAGTTTAAAAGAAAGTAGTTTCCCACTCGAGACAACTAAAATGTGAGGTTTGGAATGATAGCATTGCACTGAAGAAATGAAAAACTGCCCCAAGATCCAGGAGGTTGTTACTCTAAGTCATGTAACTTGTGCTCTCATTTAAGGGAAAAAAGTTCTTAGTTTCCTTGGCTATAGCATAGAAACATGTTAGCAATAATTATGATTCCAAAAGCGGTGGACATACTTTTGCAAAGCTAGCAAGATGCAAGAATTATGCTGCAAGAAATCACACTTTATTTTTCATTCCTTTCAGCCAGTGGTATTTTGGAAGAGCTATTTCCAGCAGTGTCAATTTCTTTAGAGTAGGGAGTCACAACTGGTCCAAGACCATATCGTCTTGGGGCTTTGAGTAAAATCACAGGCATTTCTCATTTTGCTGTAATCTACCTCCATTCTGAGGTCTGTGATAAGTAAAAATGATGTCTCAAAGGTGTTGAAGGGGAACTTTAGGATCCCTCGAGATTAATGAATCTTAAGCTAATAAACCACAAGTTTATTCATACTCATTCAAGTGAGGTTTTTTAGTGGCTGTTTGAGCAGTCTGTAGTAATGGTTACAGGAGTATATTTGTGACAAGAACTAGAAAAAGATGACTTCAGAAGCTTTTTCTGAAGTAAGCATGTATTTGTCAAATTGCATGCCTGTTAAAGTGAGCGGAAGCAAGTGTAGGATCCCTCCAAGAATTGGGTTAAATATGCTTTCAAACGCAAAAGGTAACAATGCCAAACAGCTTACATGTACTATCAAAGGAAAGAGATTTCAAAGTACGTGAAAGTATATCAGATTAACTGAAAAGGTATCGCAAAAGAAAATAAAGTACCACACGACATACAAATAGAGATCAGGAAATGCTTAGCCAGAGGAACAGTAAGACGAAGGTGCTGTAACAGTAGTTTAGAAAAGACAAGATATAATGAGATGAAGGTATATGAAAATAATGGATGTCTCAGGAAATAATTAAGCCCAGAGTCTCAAAATGGAGAACAGAAGAAGGTTTAGTAATAAAGAAGTCCCAAGAAATTACAGGTTATTCATACAAGGTCTAGTTAATTCCTTCTGTATGTACATCCACAAGCTTACGAAGAACTGCATGTAGCAGATAAGATAAAAATTTATATGAGCTGAAACCTCATGCTTTGGTATATAAATTATACTGTGGTTTTGAGAAATGTCTCCTCTTACTTCCTGTTTCATAATGGTTCCTTGCAAGGAGGTTTCAAAGTCCCTTTTAAACTTGTCATGCTGGTCACTGTCAGAGACAGCAGTATGTATGTGCTGCCTTGGTCTCATCGGCAGCTTATGCTACTCAGTCATCTGTATTTAACGATACCCCATACATGAAATACATTCCCTTGTCATCAGCAGGCATGGTCATATGGTTTTTACAATTATCAGCATTTTTAACATAATATTATTAAAATAGAATTTTATGTTCTCTTCTTTGAAAGTAGATGCTGCCGTTTGTCTGCTGGTGTTGTATCCATGTTTTTGAGGCTAATACATTTGGGCTGTGACTGAACCAGCTGAGTCTGAAAAATGAAAAAGTATTCCGGTTAGCCTCCAACCTTGAGAGGTTGGGAAGAACAGTCTGTGGGTGGTCCCCATTATGTTATATATCAAAGCAGTTAGTCGGATGTAACTTTTGAAAACTGAATCTGCTCAGGTAACCTACTTACCTTTCAAGTAGGGAAAACTGACCTGTAATGAACATTAGGTTTCATGTGAATCACAGAATGGTTTGGGTGGGAAGGGACCTTAAAGACCATCCAGTTCCCACCCCCCTGCCATGGGCAGGGACACCTTCCACTAGACCAGGTTGCTCAAAGCCTTGTCCAGCCTGGCCTTGAAGACATCCAGGGATGGGGCATCCACAACTTCTCTGGGCAGCATGTTCCAGTGCCTCACCACCCTCTCCGTGAAGAACTTCTCCTGATATCCAATCTAAATCTCCTTGCTTTCAATTTAAACCCATTGCCCCTTACTTTGTCACTATATGCCCTTGTAAAAAGTCCCTTGTAAAAAGTCCCTTTTTAGTACTCTCCTTGGTCTGGATTAAAATAATTGGACTTGGAGAGGCAAAAATTTAATACAGTACTGATAAGATAATATTTTTTTTCTTTTATCAGAAGATGAAGTTTTATTTTGAAGACCCTTCACAGTACATATTTTCTACTTGGTCTGTGTGGAGATGATGACTAGTGACACTGGCTAAAAATATTTGTGCTTTGTTTTGACACTTCTAATGTAGTTGTATAAATTATTTGTTGCTCATAGCGTATTAATACGTAGATTTGGCCACTGCTCAACTGTTTCTGCACTTTTTTTGTTTCCTGGATTTTTCATGGTAGTTGGTTGAAACCCTTGTTTCTGTGAATAATATGTGGTTTGGTTTTTTTTAATTTTTTTTCCCCCTCCTTATGTCTGTAGGTTCATTAAGAGCCCCTCCAACATCTGGAGCTCCCCCTCCAGCCTCTGGATCATCTCTTCCTTCTGGCCACCTGGCATACAGTCAGTTTGGACACGGAGATGTGCAGAATGGGATCCCGGCCTCAGCAGCCCCGATGCAGAGGTACATACAGGAAGAGCAGATCATAACAGGCCAGCCTTGGTAGACCTATGATAGGTCTAGACCTTTTAGGATCTGAACCAAACTAAATGCTTTGTTTTTCCTGTGGTGGATATTGACTTTCTTAATTGCTTCCTTATTGTTTTGGAACATTTTGCCATAGAGGTATTTGTTAGACAATAAGAATTTCTAGAGATGAACAACTTCTGGAAGGATATGAGCAGATGTCAGTGACTGATCAAAACCACTTCTTCTCCAAAGACTTTCTTTGTGGTAGTCATTTTCTCATAAGGAATTTTCTGATTCCCTTAATCTGTCTTGTTTTGAAACAATTGCATCCACACAGCCATAGTATTTGATTCCTTAGCATTGTGAACTGATCTCTCTCTGCAGCATGTTACTGTCTGTCCTTACAGAGTAATTCCTTAGTATTGGTTCTGGGTCCTTTTCTGTCCGTTATGGATCACTGACTTATCTTCATCTAAAGCCTTTACGCGTCTTCTTCAGAAAGATATTGCTGTTACCTCTGTAGTGAAAATGGCAACAGTCCTCTCTGCTTCACCCTGATTACTGGTTATGGGGAAAGGTGGTGGTTTTTCATTTTCTTCTGGTTAAGCTTGGCACTGTCAGCTGGAGAATCCAAATCCTTTGAGCAACAGAGGGTCCTTACACAGCTATGCAGGTCTTACTGTTGGTTGCTCTGTAGAGACTGTTGCACTATTTCTGGTTTGTTGTGATAACTCAAATGAAATTAACAAAAAAGCCATGAAAGTAGAATTTTTATTTTAAGAACTAATAGATGTTTTTTATGAAAGGGATTTGGATCCATGCAGGATATGTAATTATTTTTTCCGAAACTGACCTACAGTGTTTCATGTAAATAATTGAGACGCAGCTAGTGTTTGTGTGGTAGAACAATTTTAGAAGGCACAGAAAACTGTAATGGCTTGTATAATGGGGAGTCCAGTGAAGTTTCTCCTTTTCCTTCTCAGGCCACCTGCTTCTCAGCCGTTTCTGCCAGGCTCAGCACCCACGCCTGTCAGCCAGACATCTACGTTCCAGCAATATGGTCCCCCCCCAGCCAGTGTACAGCAGCTCAGCAATCACATGGCAGGGATGACAATTGGCAGTACTACAGCCTCTGCTCCTCCCCCAGCTGGACTGGGCTATGGTGAGATTTCCTGGCTACAGAAATATGCAGTTGCTTTTCATTTATGCTGGTAATATCATAAAATATTTGGAAAGGAAGGAAAAATGGCTCAGTAAGTCATAAAGGGCTGAAATTACTCTAAATGATTCTGTGAAGGGTTTTGCTGGATGATGATAAGAAACTTGCTTAAACAGTATAACTAGTTTTAGGTATTTTGTTGTATACAGTCCCACTGCTTTAGATCACAGGATTTTTTGTTTTCAGTTGAAGGCTAGAGTCTTGTCTTTGATATGTGTAAGATGGTCTGGCTGCACTTGGTAAAGAAATTTTTGACAAGCATCTCATATTCTAACACAGACTTTATGGAAAATTAGGAGTAGGGATGCAGATTTCTCCAGCCTTTTGGCAACATGTTTGTCTAAAATTATCCTCAGAAACAATACAGTGGTAAATACAGAAGGTGTTAGTTCTGTGCTATTAAAACCATAAAGCTCTACAGGCTCCAACTTAGTGTGGAGTTTAATATACAAACTTAGGTTAGTCAAGAAACTGGTAGAAAGACTTATATGCAAAGCAAGAACCACTACTTCTAGCTTTGCCCCTTTCTTCTGGCCCTGAATCCTGAAATGTGTTCTGATTTTGTAAAATAAAGAGCACAGACTTTGAGAGAGAGGACAATAAAGGAACTATTGTTTCAGATCCCTTGGAGGAGCTTCAGCTGTCTGACCAATTTCGGAGTGTGTTCACCTAAGATTTGTCTATACTAGTACTGGCGAGTCTATCTGAAGAGGTGGATGTGGTAGACCTATTTGATCATCTAGAGCAAACAGGTTTTCCTTGCATCTTAATTGTCTTGAGGATAGAAGAAAATTACATTAAATCTTTTTGTCTTCTGTTCAGGTCCCCCAACATCGGTTCCCCCAGTCTCAGGAAGCTTTAGTGCAACAGGATCTGGTCTCTACACACCTTACACTGCGAGCCAAGGACCCCCTCCTCCCAGCGTGTCTCAGGGTCTTCCTTTGGCACAGTCTCCGTTTCCTGGTCAACCAATATCAACTCAGCGCCTACCTACTCAAGTCCCTGGTTTTGCCCCACCTCCCTCTTCTACAGGGATTGGACCTTCCTCTTACCCTCCTACCACGGGTGCCCCAAGGGCACCCTCCATGCCAGGCCCACCGCTGCCTGGGCAGACAGTTGCTGGACCATCAGCATCTCAGCCTAATCACGTATCCTCACCACCACCTCCATCAACTATGACAGGGCTGCACCCTGGGCCTCCCATGAGTGGCCTCCGTGGACCACCTCCTCCTACTCATCCTCCTCAGCCAGGTTACCAAATGCAGCAGAACGGTGAGTATTTGCAGCGTAGGAGTTGTAAGTTACGTGTTCTTTGTGTGCTGCAAACTGAGAACTGGATTTCAGGTTTGTTACTTTTGGGCTACTTTTGTGGTGTCAGAGCTTCCCTCTTCTTTTCCTGTCATGTTTGAAGGACAGATCCAAGATAAACAATAGGATGTGTCATTCTGAAGTATTTGTCATTCAGGTGTTGATCGGATTAGTTTAACTAAAGGAATCCTAGCTTACTTAGCCAAGAAGTTGTTTAGTAATTACTGCCATAATACTACAAGAATTTGTGATCAAAATCTTATTGTGAACTTTGATGTCTGCAACTTCGTCTGTTCAAAGGAGATTTGAAATCCTGAAAAGCCTTACTAGCTTTTAAAAAAATTTGTGGCCAGTGTGAATATACAGTGTATATGAGGGAAGTTGTAAATGTTGAAAAGGAGTTGATACTTTTTCTTCTTTAATTCATAAAACTGTAGTTTTCCTTGTAGAACCTTTCACGTTCTCTGTGTCCTTAGAAGTAATATGAGTGAAGCTTTCTGAATTAAACAGTTTTGGCTGATTTTTATTCAGTAACATTTACAGATAGCTAGGATGAAGTAATCATGTGCAAGTATCAGGATTGAGAATCCCCTCCCCCATCCAGCTTTGTACAACTGGCCAGGTAAATTACTTAAAAATATCTGTCCAAATTGCTATGAAATGTCAAAATGCTAATGGGGTAAATCATGCTTTTAGTCGATAACTGACTGAAATTGTCAAAAGTAACATGAAAATAACTTCAGGTAGTTATAAAGCAAAAGAAATAATCACACATTAACCTATTACTGTAACTTCAGACAGGCCAAAACTAACAGAGAGAACTCCTTGCATACCTTTGATTGGAGGAATTGTGGGTCATCCACTAGTTTGTTTGGCTGTCCTCTGTGCACTTTTTATTAGGCATTCAGCAGTTTAACTTAACTATTCAGAGAGCATGATCTTAATGCATATTTAATGCTATTCTAAGAACAGCTATGTTAGTCTGAAACCCTATGTTTCCTTAACTCTGCTTTTAAGGAGGACTGTGTTCATCAGTTTGTTGGATCATTGATAGAGAGGTACAGGTCTAAGCTGAAACACTGTGATAAATAGGTTTAATCCTAGTTAACAGAGAAGCACGTGACTTACTTTCTCTTGTTTTTACCATGACAGGAAAAGTGGGAAGTGTCTAATGAGAATATGCCTAGTATTAGCCATGGTTTGATTTTGCTGTCCCTTTCTTGTAAGGTTCTTTTGGGCAGGTGAGGGGTCCCCAACCAAACTATGGAGGAGCCTATCCAGGAGCACCAAATTATGGAAGTCAACCCGGACCTCCACCTCCACCAAAACGCTTGGATCCAGATTCCATTCCTAGCCCTGTAAGCTTACTTTGTTCTTACCAGTGTGAACTCTTCCAGAGTGTCCTAACATAAAACAGAACTGACAAAGACCAAAGCTAAAACCAGGTTCCTCACTCCAAGGAAAACCAGTCTTTTCCTGCTTGGTTTTCTCTCATATATCCAGCTTCAGTCTTTTGTTATGAAGAAGCCCAGAAACACTATTTTTCTTAGTGACTAAGGAAAGGCTCTGCATATGCAAATCAATGCTCTAATTCCTCAGGTCTGTTTCTGTGCTATGTTACATTTTGAGAATCCTTGAGGGCTTTGATTAAACTTGTTTCTCCACTTCTGGTTTCTTGCTTAATGACTTTCCAAGGTGAACTTACTTCAGGTTTTGAGGTGACAGTCTATGAACTGTGTGATCCAAGTTTAAGTTATGGCTCATAGGGGATGATTGTAGTGCTTTTCCCTTTTCCTATAAGCTGTCAGAAAGCTGATCAGCACTTTTTGGGGTCATTTAGTCATGACACCACTTCAGTCAACTATGGACAACTTCTCAAATTGGGATTATCTTTCAGAATGGAGGTTCTGAGAAAGGATGAGCAGTGACGTGTAATGGTTAGCAGTGATGAGTAATATTAAGCCTGGCATTATTGTTGTTGCTAGTCTGCTCTGCTGTTCCTTCCACTGCTGCTGTTCTGTTGTTGTCGCAGAAGGCCACAGTCATCGGTTAACAGGAAACCTTTCCAGGGCAGTGCTTACAATCAGTTTACGTCAAAACTCTGAAAACAATTTAGTCTTGAGTTACATCTTAGATCTAGACTGGTGGTGTTCAGAAGTTCTTGCTATTCAAAACAAGATTATCTGTTTAGACTCCAGGTTTATGTAAGGTTTATGACTGTATTGTTTTTGTAGCATATAAGAAGTCTTTCATTGCTTGTCTGCTTCTCTTATCTTCCACTAAATGAGATCTCAAATGGCTTGTGTCAGTTTCCCTTCATTTTAGCATGTTATTAAAGCATAAATCCCCAATTTCTAACCAAGAGGAACACATGAGGCACTACCTCTGTTAGCAGTGTGTTCAGAGCCCAAGCCCAGTACGCTGCAGAGACTGGTTTGGGGATCTGCGTATGCTGCAGAAGCTGATGTTTCCTATTGCATGAACCAGTCTCCAGATCTATCTAATTCCAGTGCTACAGGTTTGGGTAGAGAGAAGTAACACGGTTACTGTTTGTTTTATTATTCTCTTCTCTCCTCTTTCTTTTTTTTTTTTTTTTTGTGGTGCTCTTGCTTTTTATTTTTTTAAAAAAGCAACTTAATGAGCTGCCACCCCAGCAGAAACCCAGGCACAGAATAGACCCAGATGCAATTCCTAGTCCAGTAAGTGCTGTATGTATGTCAATTGTAGTTTGTGTGTTGGTGACCATCTCTGCATGCCTCAGACCTGAACTTCACCTCACTAACCCTCCATCATTAATCCTTTACCCTTTCCTTGCTGTCTTCTGCTTGCTTTATCAAAACAAGTAACGTTACACCACAAGAGGTTGCTAAAATCTTCACTTCTGTGATGAATGGTGAGGCAATAGAAAGCAGACTGTGTCAGAAACAGATCATGAAGAATGTCTCCCCTTCCCTTTGTATGATCATTAGACGATCTCCTTCATCTGATTCCCACTGGCATTGTCAGTGTAAGCCATCATTATGATCGTCTGTACAATGTGTGTCTCATGTTAACGTACACACAGCATAAGCCTTTGTAACCATGTTTTCTACCAGTTTTGAGCAGAATTTGATTACTCTTCTTGTTGATATACCAGTACTGGGCTAATGCTTTGAAGTTCTGAAATTGCAGATTAACTGTTTCGTTTTGATGTTAATTCTTGATATAAATTGTCTAGTAGATTAATATGAGGCATGGGGAGCTATAAACATTCTCTCATTATCTGTGCTCATACATAACCATTAAATTTTGAACTTGAAAATTTAATGTTTATGTGTAGAGAATCTTACCTAAAGAAAGAAAAAAGCAGCTACCTTTTGGATTGGAAGAAAAAAAACCCTTGCATTTGACTTTGTTACCCTTGTATCACTTGTTCCTCGTTTAGTCTAAGTTGGTCATATGACAGGTACCAGCTGTGAGATCACCAGTGTCAGTCAGTCTGTACGCTTTTGAAAAGATTTATCCTAGAGTAGTCACTGGTGCTATGGGAGGCTTTCTGCTGGCAACTTAGAATTCCTAGTGAGAGGGTAGAAGTTCTGCCATGCAAACTTCTGCATTTCACAATTTACTCAAAGCAAAGGCATGTGTGTTTGGTGGCAAATAAGATGAGAATGATTGCTAGCTTTAATGCTTTCATTCAGGCACCAGTATAGAAATGTAGTTAAAACTGTGTATAACTACAATTTTCTGTTCTTATGCACAGGTCAGCGGATATTTTAGTCAAGTAAATCTGTTTAATCCATTTCCATTATCTTAGTCATATTTGCATTAATGAAGAATTTGAAATACTAAGAAATTTAAAATTTTTACTGGCTTTGAAGTTTAAGCTTGATTCATTGACAAGTCTTTTGAAACTTCGCTTTCCACATCCCCAGAATTTGAATCACAGAGTAATGAAGACTTCCACCTGAGCTTGCAAGCATTTGTCTTTAGGTCAGAGTTGCAGTGGTTAGAAATAAATACATACTGTGAAAACAGTGGTAAGATATAACAGAAAGGAAAAGCCCAGGATATCTACAGAACTTCAGCCTGAGGCTTACAGAAGCTTCTAATTTTAATTTGGCTAGGACAGGTATACATGGGAATGCTACCAAAAATTCCTTTCTTGACCTGTGTTCAGCTTTTAAGTGTTTAGATCAGGCCTTAAAACACAAAACATTATACTAAAAATACTTGGGGGGAAAAATAGTATTTGCAACTTTCATTTATTGTTATTCATTAAATACTCTTCAGAATCAAACTGAGAGGTGACTGCTTGACAAAGCTTATGTGTTTTAGACTTCTTATTTTTAGAGATAGTAATGTTTGCCTCAGGTCCCCTTTTCACTGCCTTACAGATAAAAATTTTGTATTTTACGGTACTTTGAAACCAAGCCTCCAAATATTAATGTGGTGTTTTCCATCGTAGATTCAAGTGATTGAAGACGACAGAAATAACTGTGGGTCAGAACCATTTGTCACTGGAGTGAGAGGGCAGGTCCCACCTCTTGTTACTACTAATTTCTTGGTTAAAGATCAAGGTAAAATATATTTCTCTTCTTAAACAAACAAAACACAAACCTCAGTCAGTGACAGAGAGTTTGAGGAATGATTTCAGTAGCTGGGTATGTGTGTTTTACCAACAAAAGGTTAGTTTCAAGTCCTGTGTTGATTTAATCTCCGTGTAGATTCTCCTGATTGTTTGGTAGCTAGTAACCAATTCACAAGTGAAGAATGTGTTCAAGGCAGGTACCCAGGACCAGCATTATCCGGGATATCAGAAGGCAGCAAATGAAGCCCCATATCAACAGCAGTTCAGAATGAGATTTTACTAGCAATATCATTTGAATTGTACTTGGAACTGTAATTTTTTAAATGAAGTGGGATATCAGTTGCTCCATGGGCTTCATAGAGAAAGGATATTTAATATTTTAATTTCCCACGCTTTTTTTTGAGCTTTTAAGCTCCCTTAAAACTTCAGAATCTGATGCTGTAATCCAGTGCTTTGCTCTTCGGTCAAAATTATCAAATCAAACAGTAGAAATGTTTGAGCTGATTTTTCTCCCTATAGTACATTTTAGTCTGCACAAAG